CCCATGGAGCTTTTTCATTAAGCCTTGGACGATTTCATATGGGCTTCCCCCATAGAATTCGTCCACCTTATAATATAAGGCAATCCATGGCCCAAATTGTAATTATCTTATATTTACAATTCCAGTCCCTTAAGTTTAATTAATCTCTTTTAGTCACAAAACTAATTACCAATTAATTATTGACTAATATTAATTAAACAATATGATTTCTCCTTTAATATATTATTCTTATAATACATTAATAAATCATATTTAATCCTTACTCTCCATAATTCATCCTATCAAGTTGCTTTGGTGAAGGCAACCCAAAAGGACCATGCACCATCGGGTCAAGTACATACCAAAATAGTTATGGACTTAGACACTAATCCAACAGTCTCCCACTTGGATAAGTCTAATAACTATTATGCGTATGACTTGAGATCCTGATCTGCAATCGTAGCTTTCCAAAGCCATTGTCAACTCTGATCATATCAGACACGCGTGTCCTTAGATAAGGGATCATATATTCCTCCATTCTAGATATCATATGAGATATGATTTCTAATCATTCTCTTTGTACTACTTCTCGATTTCTGATTTATGACGACAGACTAATTGAACAAATCAAATTAGCCCAAGCCCGACCGAGCATTTACGTTTGTCATCACTAAACCATCGAGGGGCCCAAAGATATCGCTTTTATCCTTCTTTGGATAAAAGGAACGGATAAACTTTGATACAATGCTTGCTTGCACTTACTAACCAAATCACACACAACAATATGTTTTATAACACCAAGTTACTAGTGCGTTTACATATTATCAATGTGCAACCGATTAGCAAGATACAACTCACACATCTCGGTTTCAAGAATATAAGATGTTATTGTCTCACTAATCACTCGTGATACAATTCATGGAGTGATCCAAGTGAGCGTGGGATTAATCCAATGCTCAAATTCATATTCATAAGCACTCATGAACGTTGCAGCAAACATGTGCTTATGTCTAATACTCTTCTAGACAATCCATACACCAATTCACGACAGTCTTCATTCATATCTACTTCCAACATATGAACGACTGTGGCCCGTTTGAATAATTCGATTATTCTTAATAAACTCAATTATTCTGGAAGTCAAAACATGCAAGGTGAAACACAAGAATAATACTAATCCCATATGGCCTCAAACCTTTGAGTATAAATGAAACTCCTTATTTTTATCACCATACCGATTACTCATTATTTGTCGTTTCGGGTAATCAACTTCTTACTTGAATTATTACACTTGTCCCATGCTCTTAGCATGCACACAATGTTTACCTATGGTTCTTACTTTTGTGAAATACAAAGTCCTCTAACGGAGATTGTTACAAGATAATTCCTTAGATATGATGTCTCTCACTAAAAGTACATTCCTTTGAACATCCTTTTGCATAAAAGTTTCTAATCTAGACATAGATTTTCCAATATTCAATTCCCAATATGGACACACTTCCATATTTTCCATATGACAACTCATTCTTAATAGAATCTTATCTATTCGTAATAATGTCGATATGGTCCATCCAATATGGAAACATTTCCATATTTTCCAATACTATACTTCCAACTACTCACAAGCGACCAATCCTCGTCGAACTTTGGATTGTCCTTTGATAGTTGTTTAATTATTTTAGTCAAAACCAATTCTAGTCCCTTTTCCCTCTAAATGCGCTCGACATTTGGAAAATTTTAGAATGGTCAAATATTAAAGCATTTGCAATCGATCCTATACCCAAAGCATATGGGACACGATGCACAATGTTTTATTTGCTATGTTCTCAAAATTCGAATTGTGAAGAGGAATGCCGTAATCATAATCGAAATTTTAAGAACACACTATGTACCTTTGACTAAATTTATTAACATTTCTCAACCTAAGCCTTTAGATTTGAAATGAAGCATAATATTCTCTCCCTTAATTATAGCAAAACAACTATACAACCCTTACGACTTTGCAAGGTATAACTCTTGTTTTCTATAATTAATATTGCCAACTTGCAAAACTTTCCATAATAATCATACAATCATAACTTTTATGCTCCCACTATCATGATGATTACTATAAAACATAACACTTATGCTCCCACTAGCTTCGACATGTATTCATAAATATCTTAACTTTCAGAAAGATAATACCTATTGAATTTCTTAAGTCCATGTTTCTAATACTTAGTTCTTTGATAATCTTTTATCAAGGCTTCTTGAACTTATACACCTTTGCCTTAGATAGTTCATATGTGTGTCTAAACAGTTAAGACTAATTGCCAAACCTCACAATTCAAATTATGGAAAGGGATACCGTGACCATAATCGAATTCGAGAATACAATTTTACAATCATTATCTTTTTAAAATCTTTCTTAGTGAAAGCATTTCCTCACAATCATTTTCATGAAGGAGGAAATCTTATGACACTTAGATTTAAATGGTGTATTTGTTCCTATCCATGTGAATTTGTTAAAACCAAAGTTTACGACAAATTCAAACTCATATGGACTGAACTTTCTTAATCTTGATTTCTTACCTTATGGTAGCACAGCTGCCCACCACGTCTTCCAAGTAGTTAAGCAGCTCACCTTTTCCTCTCAATGTACCTTCCATTGATTAAGGTGCTTTGCATTTTATGCGTTCAAAATGAGAACTCATAGGACTCACATGCATAATTAACTCAATTGGAACAACACAGAATCAAAATATTATCGACACGATAGGTTGTAAACCTCAACTCGTGTGCTAGTGATGATCGATAAGGTTTATTTGATTTGTTCTTGAAACCTTTCAAGACCATTAAGACTCCCACTGACTCCTTGACATATAAGATTCTTTTGTCAATAAACATTTCTTGACAAACAAATTTTCAAGAGTTAGTGTAGCTTGTATCAAAACACTTCATAAATTGGTCCTAGTTGGTCTTTGTCTTATCCAAGACATCACAACTTTCCACATTTGATGAATGTTATAAACCTTTAATACTTTTCACTCATTGTCACAATCTTAACTCTAAGACTTGTCTTGGAACGAAGTATGATGGACTTCTTGATTTAACCATTTCTTCAATCCTTGATTCCTCTTGTTAAACATACAATTATACTAAGACTCACTTAGAGGATCAATTGAGATATGGTTCTTAATCATTAAGACCTATCATAAAGCATAAAAGCTACTCTCCTTTCTTCTTAGAATGGAGAAACTCTTATTTTTCTGCCTACTTGATTCTTCTTATTCGTTCTAGTCACTACTAGAAAAAAGACCTTTAATGACGCGCAAACAATGACACGTGGTGATTTACGATACGCAAAAGTGTGTGCCCCAAAAATAATGTCATCTCTTCTAAATTTTGAAGGATAGAGGATGCGCTTTTTGTGCGCGCCCTAAAATTAGTGTCAGAAAAGAAAAAAAAAAAAAAGAAATACGGAGGATGCCTTTCATAAGATGTGCGTCATATAAGTGTGTCGCTTTATATTTTTTTTTAATGAAACACGCGTTTCAAGCAGGAAATGAAATCTCAAAAATTAAAACCCCGCCTCCTATTCCAATTAGCAAGAAAGAAGCCTAGGGTCTTCGTCTTCCCCCCTCTCTCTCTAACCTAAAACTCAATCTGCGATTTCGTAGAGATCTCCCATGGCTGTAACAAATGTTGGCTCTTCTCACTGATCTTCACAGCGATGGTGGCTTGAGGGAAAGAATATGGCAGCGACAGTGGCTCCAAAGCAAAAAGACGCCACGTCGGTCACTTTAGGGATGGAAGATAACAATGATGAGTGGTTCAACCCTCATGAAATCGATCCACACTTGCTACTTTTCTCCTACCTTTCTCTCCACCCTTCTCTTTCACCATAATCATCTTCTTATTCATTCACAAAATATTCAACATGAAAATCAAATCGCTGTTTCATATTTCATTCATTCATATAAAGCCCCGATATTTCAATTCGATTTTGAACCCTACCTAAATCATCATCCTGGAAAAACCCTAGCACATCATCCCTAAAACACCCAATAGAAAAAAAAACCCATATTTAAATCCCTAATTGATTCAGACGATGAGAACTTGGATGAAGTCGCACCTTATTCACCCTCCGGTTCAATTTCATGGCATTGTTGATTCAAAGTTTTAGGTAATATTTCTTGATATTGTTATACTCTTATCTCTTCAACTATCTTCAATCGTTCGCTTCAATGTGTACAGTCGATTTCATTATCTTCAATCGATCGAAGTGAAAGATGCCTATATTTTCGGAGTTGATTTGTTAGGGTTCGTTCACATCCCTGTGGAGGAGACCACGATCTCCTCTTCATTCCACGATCCCCACTTATACTCTTTATGCATCTCAGGTATTCTTCGTTCCTTCTCCCTTATTCTCATTCTTGTTTGATTTCCTAGGTGCGATATCCTCCCCCCATACTTTTCTCCTTTTGAGTTCGTACAGATGAGAGAATCACGTCATCTGTCAATTCAAGGTGGTATCTCTCCGATCGTAGGGCACCATTTACAGATTTGCGGCTCTTCACGCACACAGAGGAAATGGTAGAATTTAGCCAAGGTAGATTGGAGAGATACCATCAGATACACACTCACGTCCCTATTGTGCGATTCAATTGGCAAAAAATCAAGTCTACAATCGAATTAGGCTGCTCAGGGTTCTCTAACACTATATTAGGGTTTTTTTTTCATTTATAGAGTAGGTAATTTGAAGAATGTTGTCCCTAAAATCAATTTCTATAATCACTTGGTGGCAGACTTGTGTGAACTGTACCAAAATTCAAGGTTTTATTCTCATCTCTTTCATTGGTTCATCTTTTTGGCTGATTAGGTTTGTTTGTGTTTTTAGTTGATGCATATTAATGCTTATTTGATCAAGGAAGTGGCAGGAACTTGGTAGTGATGATGATGTCTTTTAGTTTTTTGGTTGTGATTCCACCTGATAAAGTAAGATACTGTGAAATATTCCACCTGAACAAACCCGGTTGGTTGGAGAGAGACAATCAATAAAAATGAGGATCAAATATCTTGAAGCAGCATTGAGTCAAGATATTCAGTTCTTTGACACTGAAGTCAGAACTTCAGATGTTGTATATGCGATCAATACTGATGCTGTTATGGTTCAAGACGCCATTAGTGAAAAGGTGAAAAAGATCAAATCTTTTTGACTCATACATATGAGATTATTAACTCTGTGTTTGTTTGTGTGTGTGTGTGTGCGTGTAGCTAGGGAATTTTATACACTATATGGCGACATTTGTATGTGGATTTGTGGTGGGATTCACAGCAGTTTGGCAATTGGCACTTGTGACACTTGCAGTGGTGCCTTTAATTGTGATAATTGGAGCTATTCATACAATTACATTAGCGAAACTGTCTTCTAAGAGTCAAGAAGCTCTTTCGGAAGCTGGAAATATTGCTGAGCAGGTGTGTTTTTTTACTTTTATATAGATATAATTCCCTTAAATCTATAAAATGAATTCAAGAAAGCCGTAATTTCTCTTTTGTTTTTTTTTTCATGTGAGTTTGCTGAATTTGAGCTAAGTTCAACGACATATCAATCTTTCCTCTTATTTTCCCATCTGGGTATTGTTTGATTTGACCTAAATTCAAGATGACGAAAACATCAATCGTCCCCTGTTTTTTTTTTTCCTATTTGGATCAAGGAAAAAAAATCATTTTTTCCATGTTTCTTTCGATTTTTAAGAAATATATCAGTTTTTCCTCTAATTTTCTATCTGGGTATTTCTGAATCTTAGCTTAATTTGTTTTTCTTTTTGGGGAAAAAAATCCATATTTTTCTTGTTTCTTAATCTGACTATCAATATTTTAGAGCAAACTTCAAAAAAAATTAATCTTTCTAATGTTTTATAATCTGAATGTTGTTATAGTTGGACAAACTGAAGCGAAAAAATAAAAAAGACATGCATGTTCTTGCATCTGGGTGATGGTAGAATTTGAAAGCCAAATTCAAGAACTTATTATCAATCTCAAAAAGCTAATTCTCTTTTTACCATCTGGATACTTTCTTGATCCATCAAAAATGCAGACAATCGCACAAATTCGAACAGTATTAGCATATGTTGGTGAATCAAGAGCATTACAAGCCTACTCTTCTGCATTAAAGATCTCACAAAAACTCGGATACAAGACTGGATTTTCAAAAGGATTAGGATTAGGAGCAACTTATTTCACAGTCTTTTGTTGCTATGCTCTTCTTCTATGGTACGGAGGCTATCTTGTTCGCCACCATTACACCAACGGAGGACTCGCCATTTCCACCATGTTCTCCGTCATGATCGGTGGCCTGTAAGTCTTCTTCTTTCAAAAAATTCCAGTAAACCCCATTAATCAATCTCGTTTTATTCTAATTATTCCGATTCCAAAATTCAAAATTTGACAGAGCTTTAGGCCAATCAGCTCCAAGTATGTCTGCGTTTGTGAAAGCACGAGTAGCAGCGGGTAAAATCTATAGAATTATCGATCATAAACCGAGCGTCGACAAAAACTCTGAATCGGGATTGGAATTGGATTCCGTTTCCGGCCAATTAGAGCTGAAAAACATCGAATTTTCATACCCTTCAAGACTAGATGTTAAAATTCTAAACAATTTCACTTTAACTGTTCCTGCCGGAAAAACAATTGCATTGGTCGGAAGTAGTGGTTCAGGGAAGAGCACGGTGGTTTCTCTAATCGAAAGGTTCTACGATCCCACCTCAGGTAATAATCAATCTCAATGTACAACCCTACACGCACATAGTACAACATGAATACCTCTAATCTTGCTTAATTTCAACACAGGACAAGTAATGCTTGATGGGCATGACATAAAAGGTCTGAATTTGCGATGGTTAAGGCAACAAATTGGTCTAGTTAGCCAAGAACCTGCACTTTTTGCAACCACCATTAAAGAAAATATCCTCTTGGGTCGACCCGATGCATACATGGGTGAGATTGAAGAAGCTGCATGTGTGTCAAATGCTCATTCGTTCATTATCAAATTACCAGATGCCTATGATACTCAGGTAGGTTAAAAAGTTATAATCTTGTTTTTATTTTGTGGGTCCACTTTGGTAACTTTTATGCTTTGATATTAATGGTGATTGTTCTTGATTTTTGGATGCATTTGGAGGGTAGGGTTTGATTTTTCTTTAGTTAAAGTTGGTTGCTTTTTGGTTGTTTGTAAAGATTAAAAATGAGTGGCAAATTTGGTTAAAAAAGGAAAACCTAACTTGGTGTAAAAGTCAAATGTAGTAAGGTAAAGTTTTCTTTCGAGGGAATGCATTAATTGAGAAGTTTGAAACCTGGTTTTTTCAGTCAACACTCCATGTGCAAAATGCAGATTTATGCAAGAAACAAGAACATAACTGTAACACCAGTGTGTGTGTGTGTATGTGTAAAAGGACAATATCGATAAATATAAAATATACACAACTATACACATTTTATAATTCATATCAAATGTACACTGTATCCATCACATGACTGACAAACGCAAAGATTTCGGTTGACCAGAAGCATGTTCAGGAAACAGTTTGACCATGTACTCCCTAAGTTTGTTGACTTTTATCTACGAAGTGCTTGAGCAATTTGGAAAGGGGGCATTTGGTGTTGCCCTTCTTGTACGCCATCTACATGATAGAAAAAAGTAAGAATGAAATTGAATTTACCCTACTTACATGGTTTTGTAATTTGTTTGTTTTGATGTCTGCCCTTCTTATACTCCATAACAGATCAGTTGGTGTTGGTCATCATTAACGTAATTAGCCCTAAATGTCCCATATAAATGATTGGTTTTGTTCATTTGTATTTCTACAAGAATAGTTATAGCAGCAAACAAACAGTAGAAGATTATTGATTTTTTATGGCTATGGCCTATGGGTATGATGACAGGGTGAGATTGGAATGGCATTTGGAGATTTATTAAAGACATTATGGGCTCCTGGGGCAACAGTTGTACCACCACGAACATTCAAGTCCAAGGTTGCTCATTTAAGATTTCCTGATTTCAAAGAGTTGCAGACTAGTGGCAAGGGCAGCTGCAAGCATCCTGGAAGTAACAGAAAAAACCGCACGATTCAAAATGTTCATACTTGCATTCTGTTTTAAGCTCTAAATGTGGCAGTGGTATATTTTCGTCTTTTTTCATATTATAAACTTGCTTCAGATCTGAATTTTGAACCTAATCTTAATAGCTTATATATATAAACTACCCTTTTGGCAGCGATTTTACTTAGTGTAATATACATGGAGATTTGTCAAAGACTTAATTTGACTATTGTTAGGTCATGGGTTGGTGAAGACTTTTTAATTTGGCCTGAAACCCGGAACCCAGAGGTATGTTTATCCAGCTATTCATCAAAATGGTTCATCTACAAAACATTTGCAAAGTTTGAATTGTCTTTAATTTTTTCCGATTACTGTTTGATTGAAAGGGATTGAAACTTTTCTCAAATGGGAATTTATTTCAATCTCTCTGAATCATTACAGAACTTATTACATAAATAGAAATAAACTAATTAACTTTTTTCATAACAACCAAATAATGAAAAATTACATGTATGCCCTTGATACAGTAAAAAGACAATTCTACCCTTATAGTTAATGTTGTTGAAACTGACATGTTAAATTGAAAAAAGTGTTAAAGGGATTGAAACTTTTCTCATTTTTTTGAATTCATTCAAACTCTCTGAATCATTACCAATGGTGCTTCCCACCTGTGAGAAATTCCAACTTTATCAAATATGCTGATAAATTAGCTGATACTGTACAGGATCAGGGTGGTGAGTTGACCCAATTGACCAAATAATAAACTCACACTTTTATTTCCTTTAATTTTTAATATTTAATCTTGGCTTTCAGGAGACATGGGTTCGAATCCTATTCCCAAAACCTAAAGTATCATCCCCCCTGTGCCAATTTTTCATCAAAATATATAGTCTTCAATGAAACTTAAACATCAACTCTTCCCTGTTGATGAAACTACATGGAGAGCCTTGGAAATGGTAAGAAACAATAATAAATTATGTACTTTGTGTTACCATTTGTGGCTCCTTTTCTTTGTGTATTTTTTTTTGTTATCAAGTTACATTGTTGCTAATCTGCTATCAAATTGGTCTTTCTTTTAGTATAAAAAATAAAACGTGTACTAATTAATGGTTACTCTCAAGAACTGCTAATCTTTCCATGCCTCATGTTGGTGTTCAAGTTGGACCTCCTAGTCTTGTGCAGCAGCAGCAACCTCCAATTACAGGTTTGGTTTGAATTTTGATTCAGTTTTTATTTTTGTTATTATAATTTATTGATATAAATTAAATGGCGTAATTAAGGTATCAATATCATCACTCTTACTTATATGTCTATATCATTTTCATGAAAATGTTTATGTTGCGTATTATATATTCATATGTCCAGTTGTGCTTTCTACATAGCAAACGTTAACCTTGGTCTTTGCGTTTTTTGTTCATAGATTACAAACACCAATTTCTTTCAAACAACATAAGATCTAGAGTTTAAATGGGTGATTGAAGGTGATTTTGGTTCTTGAAACGAGACTCAAGATATCATATTTTGGCATGGCTAGAATCTTTGGAGGAAATGAGACTCAAGCAAAAGTAAACACACAGAGAGTTGTTGGCACATAGTATGCTAGATGATGCAATTGTATATAAATGAGTTCATTTTTTATAATATTTACTCACTTTTGGAATAAATTTTTGTATTTGACATATTAGTGAAATGAATTATCTTTGTTATTTATTGTATTTTATTTTGTATTATGAGATTTTTAATGTATTATTTAATTTGAAAATTAGTAAATCTATAAATAATATTTTTTTTAAACAGTAAAAATTATGATACGCAAAAATGTGTGTCATCTTCATTTATGACATGACCTTTCTTGACAGGGGCTTTATTGATACGCATTGCGTGTCATAAACACGCGTGTCGTAAGGTTACGACACGCGAATGCGTGTCGTCTTCCTTTATGACAGGGCCTTCCTTGATACGCATTGCGTGTCGTAAACGAGCGTCGTAATTGCGCGTCGTAGATGAGCGTCGTGAATGTGCGTCGTCTCTCTTTATGACAGGTCCTTCCTTGACGCGCATTTGCGCGTCGTCTGAGCCTTTTACGACGCGCAATGAGCGTCGTAAAAGGCTATTTTTCTAGTAGTGACTATTGATCTAAACCCTTTAATCAATTCAGAATTACTCTTATGGTGAACTTGATCAACACACAACTTTGTGTACTCGATCTCCTAGTCCTTCACTTAACACTCTGTCAACGAATTTGTCTAATTTCCAAATATGAAATTTCTCATTCATCATGCAACCAAGTTGCATGATTTCAAATTTCAGTCCAATTGAAATTTGGGCGATGAGAAACTCTCCCTATTTGGTAAATTCTCGACATTTCCATAAATAACATAATTAAGAATCATATCCATTCGTTGTAGAAATATGCAAACATCAATTTTCATAACGATTTCATTGCAAGGAAGTAAACAAATAAATAAATAAGTCAAACAAAATTTATTTTATTTATTAAAAGCAGCGGAAAAACATTTGTCCTTACAATGCAAAAACTATGTAAAAGGAAAATTTCTAACAACTCTATCATAACTATCTATGCTCAAAATCCAATCTTCAAGTCCATGTGATCAAGATCCATCTCTTGTGATTAGATTCATCTTGCCCTCTTACCAAGCTTCCTTTCTTTTCATAGATCCTTCAAAACATTTAAATGCAATCTTATCACATCATGTATTAAGAATCAATGAATAGGAACTTAACAGAGTTAGATAGTGGATTTTACCTGAAGCGTAATCATACTTTTGACTCTCCCATCTCTTAGATCTCTTAGCACTACTAGAAAAACATCCTTTTACGACGCTCATTGCGCGTCGTAAAAGGCTCAGATGACGCGTAAATGCGCGTCAAGGAAGGCCCTGTCATAAAGAGAGACGACGCGCATTTACGACGCTCATTTACAACGCGCAATTACGACACGCGTTTACGACACGCAATGCGTATCAAGGAAGGCCCTGTCATAAAGGAAGATGACACGCATCCGCGTATCGTAACCTTACGACGCGCGTGTTAATGACACACAATGCGTATCATTAAAACAGCTGTCAAGAAAGGCCATGTCATAAATGAATATGACACACATTTTTGCGTATCGTAATTTTTATTTTTCTTTTAAAAAAATTATTTATATATTTACTAATTTTCAAATTAAATTTGCATTTCATGTCTCATAATAGAAAATAAAATACCATATACAAAAAATACAATCCATTACACAAAAGTTAATGTCATACAAAATACAAAATAAAATACAATAAATAAGAAAGATAATTCATTGCACTAAAATGTCAAATACAAATAATCATTGCTAACTATATAACCTAATACTACATTGCTATTAAAGGACATCATCATAACTCACTGAAGGTCTTGGAACAATGTTGTCGTCATCAACTCTTACACCAACCTTGCTTTAGTAGATGACTTTCACACAATCAATTTCAAACAATTATACAAATAATCATAGGAGGCACACAAGATATCAAAAAATTTATAAGATTATCCAACCAAAATAAAATAACATAAAAAAAACATACCTGTTATATGGCAGTGGTAGCGGGATATCTCCGGGTTGGCTTCAAAGGTGGTCTTCCGGTGGTGGCTGGTGGGCACCAAAAAACAACACATCAGTAAAAAACAAATCAAAGAATCCTAACCTGTTCTGTGGGCAGTGGCCACCGGATTTTGGGGGTGTTCAACGGTGGTCCTCCGGTGGTGGCTTGTGGTCATCGGGGATATACTGGAACACAACAACAAACTTCAACAATTGTATACCAACAAGAAATTACTAACCGTAACTCTATATGGATGATTGCTTTTATGAGGATAAACCTCAGAACCAAAAGAAAAGCACTCAACACATACATCAAAATCAGAGCAATAAGGACTCAACACAAAGAAGAGGACCTAACTTTAACTTCATGTAATTTTAGTTAATAATGGAAAAGAATCCTCTCCCTTTGTTACTTCCTTTTCCACAACAGCTCCCTTTGTTTTTTCTTTTTCACCAACACCGAACTTCTCCCCATTTTCTTTCTTTCCACTTTTATCTGCAAACATTATTAAAATTAAATATAATAATAATAATAATAATAATAATAATAATAATAATTACCAACCTTTTTGCTTTATCACTAAATATTCAGAGGTTTAGGGTTTTCAGGGAAAAATGATAATGACCTTTATCTTTATCTAAATTCACTCGATTGAAATTCCCTTTGTTTTTCTTACTTTGACTTGTGATACTTGCTAGAACAGAAGAAGCAATCTCATTGGCTCCATAACTAATGGAATTTAAGATTCCACCAGATGATGATCTACCAAGTCCTTTAACATATAAAGGGGATAAAATCAATATTTTAAAAGGATGACCCCTCTGGTTGATCTATCACCTCAGTCCACCTTATAGCCCATTGGTGTAAAACTTGCACCCAACCTGCTGTTATGAGTCCAAAGCAATATTCAGTAGAAAACTCAAGATTCAAATGAATCTTATTATGCACCTAGCTAGCTTGTTTAGCTATACATATAATTAAACAACTTTAAAAAGGGTACATAATGAGTGAACATACTGCCAATTGGCTATTAATTTTAAAGACTATTGCATGTGTCGTGTAGTGTTAATTGAACCAGAGAGCAATCAAGTGAAACTCTATCATATATATATATATATATATATATATATATATATATATATATATATATATATATATATATATATAGTTAGAGAGAGAGAGAGAGAGAAAGAAAGAAAGAACCTGTTGTGCCTGAAGACAAGCATATTTCCAAAAATGCCCTTGCAGGACAACAACCTGTTGTGCCTGAAGACAAGCATATTTCCCTTGGACGCCCTTTGCAAGCCCAACCAGAGAACATGGTGACAAGGGCAATATCGGAAGGAGGAGCTAACAAAAACCATGTGTTAAGAGTTAGAAACTTAGACTTCACAATGAAGAAATAAATAAATAATGGTTTGAGAAAAATTTGACAAAAATAGACAAACCTGCCATATGCATATTGTGGAGAAATGATTTTGATTCCTCTTCAGTAAGTGATCTAACTAACCATGGTAAAACACATTCAATTACTCTCAAAGGCATTACACATAAACTTTGGTATAAGAGCTCTCATTGTCTTTTAGGAGTAAAATGCTTGTGTGCAAGTGGGAGAACCTGAAATTGAAATCACATAAGGGAGTTATGGTAAATAAAAGTCATAAAAAGAAAGACTAGTGATTCACTATTTCACTCATTCACTTGAAGTTCTTCATTTTGAAATGTTTCTCAATGATGGACATGATATGATCAACATGTGAGCATAACTTTGAACAAAATTCAGATGAAGATGAATTTGCTCCATCTTTTTCTATGCTTTCAATCAAACATCTAAATTTCTCAAAGTCACTCTCTTCTTCTATGTGTTCTTGGGCGAATGACAACTTAACATCTACAGCAGGGAATATAACTTTATCTTCCGCAATACTGCATTCAAAAGGATAAAATTAGTATCAAATTATCAATGTTTCAAAATCTTCAGTGTCTGCAACCATCACTACAAATTCAGAAAACCCCTATTCAGGTCCCTTGTAACTGTTTAAAAAAAAATAGAAGTTAGAACCAACATTAAGAACAAAATATCAAAAATAAATATCAAAACAAGTCAGAATAATATTCACAAAGTTGATAAACTTTGGTTAAGAAAAAGAACAAGAAACATAGCCAATTTAGTTAGGCATTGATGTGGTGAAGAAACCAAAGGAAATAATGGAATTTTTTTTTTTCAAAAGAAGCTACAGGGGGGAAAAACAGTTTTCGAGTCAGGGGCATCAAGGGAATTTCTCGAAAAATGAAGGTTCAGGGGTTTTTGCTGGAAACCGCAAGCAGGGGCAAAAAGGGAATTATCCGAAAATTGGAAATTCTGGGGCTTCTGATGGAATTCGCTATCAGGGGTATAATGGGAATAATCAGGAAAATTTGGAATTTAGTTTTGATAGAGGTGGGAAGACAGGAGGTAAAAATAGGCAGGTGTATTATGGGAATATTCAGCCAATGAAAGGAAAGTCTAATGATTCAAAGATTGAACAGGGGCAAAGTTGGAAAAGTAACAAGGTTATGGGAAAGAACAAGAATGGGGGTGATGTTTCGGAAGTCAAAGGGTTTGTGGGGAATAATTCTATGAGTCGGCCTGACCAGGAAGCTAAAAAATCAGAAGCAGGGGTGATATGTGCATATTTAGTGTGTATTAAGTATAGTTTTTTATTCATATATTAGCTAAATTATTGCATATTATGGACAAAAGGTACTTAAAAGTGTTAAATTATGTTTTTCAGTCCAAAGATGAAGCTCGGAAGCGAAAGGAAGCAAGAGAAGCGGTTAGGAGCTCAAGAGTGGAATGAAGAAGGAAAACACCTAAAAAAGGCTTCTACTCGTCGAGTCGAGCCTTGACTCGACGAGTCCGGTCGCGGATTCAGGAGGATAATGATTCGGAAGTCAAGATAGTTATCGCAATACGAAGAATGTGAGAGGGACTCGACGAGTCACCATATGACTCGACGAGTCGGAACGTATATTTAAAGATAACTCCACAAATAGAGAAGAGGGGAATTCTGGGAAGTTTCAGAAGTGCTTTGCTGCGAATAAGAAGCCAGAAGAACCCTAGAAGTCGACCAAGGAAGCTAGAATTCAATTCCGGGAGTAATTAAGGCATAATTTCATCATTCTACTTATTTATTTTGTTTTGTCAACATGATTAAGCAACTTGAACTTGTTTGTTTGCTGTTATTTACCTTAGTTATGAACTAAATTCTTTAGACTTCTGTTTGGGAATACAAAGTTGACGATATGGTTTGATTGATTGGTAGGTTTAATTCCAAGTTGGTGAATTTTTGTTATTTTAGCTTGCTAAAGAACCTTGTGTATGAATGATAATTGATTTTCTGTTAATAGGAAGATAATTGATTAGCATGAACATCTATTGATTATCAACATCATATGATATGTGACCACTATATCATATGTCTAGAATTAATGAATATGAAACTAGGATTAATAAGGAGATCGAGTAAATTCATGTGCAAGCTTGTAAGATGACCATCAAACAAGAGGTTAATTAAGAATAATGAATTAATTAGCTATTGCAAATCTAACTTAACCCGAATAATTAATCTAGTAAATATAATTAAATTAAGCAATTGGCCACTGTTTGAGTTAGTTTATTTGCTAAGGATGAGGGTAGTGAACATGAACCTAATCACTTGAATCGGTAACCAACGAAAGAATTAATTCATTGCACTATTACCTTAAAATCAACCATAAAGTTAACTGAGTTGAACTAAACAGAAGTTTCTTTCCCATTATTGAATATAGTTAAATTGTCATTTTCTAGTCTTTAATTAGTTTTAGTTAGTAAGTTTCTAGTCTTGTAAAACTAGAGAAAACCCCCTATTTTCTTAATCAACTTAGGTAGAATTAGTTTTTAATTTAATTTGCCGTTCCCTGTGTTCGATACCCTGCTTATTTAGCTATACCACAATTGATAGGTTCACTGCCTTTTGTGTGTTATTTGATAATTAAAGTAGGATTAAAACTAGTTGGTTTTACACACATGAAGTTTTTGGCGCCGTTGCCGGGGAACGGTTCTAAAATTAGCATTAAAATTCTAATTCAATCGATACTTTGTGTAAGATTCATCTTACACAAAGTTAATTTCTGTTTAATTTTTGTTTAAGTTTTTAGGTTAAAAAAAAAAAAAACTGATTTTCACTTGAACTCGCCGAGTGCATTCGCCCCGACTCGGCGAGTACAACGCTGAATCAGATTTAATTTTTTATTCCTTTTTACGCGTTTTGTTTTGTTTTCTTTGTTTTGTTTGCAGTTGGTTCATGACCCGAGGATCTGCTACGCCTCTGGTTCCCCCTCTTGAAGATCCGGAAACCGCATTAAGAAGAAACAAGGGCAAAACCGTTGGAGAAACCGCTTCTTCAAAGAACTCACCACTTAAAAACCTCAAATCCGTTTTTAGCAAGAAAAGGAGCAGCAAATCAGGAGCATCCAGTGCATCATTCACAATCGAAGACCCAATCCCAAAAGACACCGGGTACGAGACCGAGGAAGAATACGAGCACACATCCGAGTTTGAAGATGATTTAGCCACCGCTATGGCCAATATTGATGAAATCCCCATGGGGGAGTGGAAGAAAAGGATGCGTGATGACACCGGCCCGGGACTTGTGCAACCCGTAATTCCCGCTACCGCTACGCTTGAACTAAAAGGTCATATTCTCGCCCAACTCAAGGAGATCCCTTTTCACGGGAGAGATCATGAAGACGCCTATAAGCACTTGGATGAAGTAAATGATGTGGCGGATTACTTCAATGTACCCAATGTGCCTCGCGAGATCCAGCTACTACGCATGCTTCATGTCACATTTAAAGGAGCTGCAAAGGATTGGTTGAAGTCACTCCCTCCCAGATCGGTTACCACATGGGCCAAGATGAAAGAAGAGTTCATAGATCATTTCTGCCCACCTTCCAAGATAGCCAAGCTAAAGAAAGCCATTGCCAACTTCGAGCAACAATCCGGAGAATCTCTTTATGAAGCTTGGGAAAGATACAAGAGCCTACTTAGAAATTGCCCCCACCATGATCTGAATAGCCAACAAGAGGTCTCTATCTTTTATGATGGAGTCAATGTCACCACAAGGCAGTTACTCGATTCACAAGGCCCGCTCACCCGAAAGCCGCCTCCGGAAATAAAGGAATTAATTGAAGAATTCTCTAAGCATTCTAGAGAATACCACAATCCGAGGAATGAAGTGAGTCGTGGAGCAGTAAACTCAGTGAACGATGGCATGGCGGCGGTAATAGCCAAACTCGATAGCCTAGACCGAAGAATGACGAAAATGGATCAAACGATCCATGCTATTAGAGTTGGATGCGAAAATTGTGGCGGCCCCCATCTTACCAAGGATTGTGATCGAGACGAGAACGGAAATAAAAAGGCTCAAGTATTCTATTCCATTGGCGATAGATACGATGAAGACTGGAGGAAACCGAAGAAGGAATGGCTCCCATACGAAGAGTATAAAAAGGCTAAGGAGGAAAAATACAAACAGAGGGAGAGGGGATATTATCAAAAGGAAGAGCCGGTGACGGAAAAGAAGGCGAATTTAGAAGATATAATCGCAAGGTTCATAACCGCGTCCGAGAAAAGACATAATGATCATGATGTAGCAATGCAAGAAACCAGAAACATGTTGAGGAATCAGCAAGCTTCCATTCTCAACATTGAGAAACAACTGGGACAACTTGCACATCAAGTAAATGAAAGAAGACCGGGCCAACTTCCGAGCAATACCGAGCCCAATCCAAGAAATGAGAATGTGAGCGCAATAACTTCCAGAAGTGAAGAAAAATGCACAGAAGCACAAAGGATCTCCAAGAAGAAGGAAGACAAGGTAGAAGAATCGGAGCCAGCCAAACCCGACCCGACTCGCCGAGTCGCTCCACTGGACTCGACGAGCCCAGGCGAAAATGAGAAACCCATTAATTCTTCGAAACCTTATAAGCCTCCACTGCCATACCCAACCAAAGCCATGCCTGCTGAAAAATTTGAAGCATACAGAACCTTCATGAATCATGTTAACGCTCTACAAGTTAATGTGCCATTCGTGGAAACAATACTTCAAACACCTAAATACTTCAACTTGCTTAAGAGCCTTTTTACTGCTAGGAAGGATTTGGCTGAAGTTGCAGAAGTCTTGATGAGTGAGCTACCTAAAAAGAAGGGTGATCCTGGAAATATGGTGATTCCGTGCCAATTTGGTAATGAGATCTTCACACGAGCACTAGCCGACTCGGGGGCAAGCATCAATATGATGCCTTTGTCATTCTATAAGAAGTTGAATCTACCAGAACCAAAACCGGTGCATATGAAGATCCATTTGGCGGACAAGAAAATAATCCATCCAAAAGGCGTTTGTGAAGATCTCCTTATAAAAGTTGACAAGTTCATATTCCCAGTAGACTTCGTGGTTGTTGATATGGAAGAAGACCCCGAAATTCCAATTATTTTAGGGAGATCCTTCTTGAACACCGCGTGTGCCTTAATCGATATAAGTGAGTCTACATTGACATTGAGAGTGGGTGATGAGGCTGTGAAGTTTAAAACTATTCCAGAAATCAAGAAAGAAGAGAAAAAGATTGAAGAAGTCTCAATGATCCAATTGGATGATGAGATATTAGAAAAAGAGTTTGCACGTTTGATGAAAAAAGACCCAAGCAAGTTTGTGATACACTCTGAAGAAGAAGGAGATGTTAACAAGGACTTGGATGAATTGGAAAAGCTACAGGAAGGAGCCCACTCAGAAGAAACCCAAGAATCGATGGAATTCGTACCGACTCGCCGAGTCACTTTAATGGACTCGACGAGTCCAGTCGATTTGGGCAAACACTTGGCCGACTTGGATCCGCTTGTTACTAGTCCTTCACATACCTTAGATTTCAGTAATATACATGAGTCTTTAGAAGAACAAACAGCAGAAAGAGGAAAGGAAAGGAGAGTTCAATACGCCGATGTAGCATGTCTTGATACGGTCCATTTCAAGGAAGGGTTAAGCACTGGAAAGGATGCAGAGATAAAGAAAACGAGGGAAGAAAGCTGCTCACCAATTCACCACTAAACCTAGAGCACGGACCATCATGGAATGTGAAATTATTAAATTTAAAGAAAAGGAGGTTCAAGAGACGGTGAAAAAGAAGGGGGTGAAGAAGAAAAAGAGGAAAAGGGAAGCCCAAGCAGCTGAAGATGAGGCATTGAAAAGAAAAAGAGATGAATTAAAAAGGGCTTACAAGAAAAAGATTCACACTTACAAGACCAAGTACAAATCACAAAAAGTTAGGGGTGCGTTCCCGATGCTCAAAGATGACAAAACGTAGATGGGAAGGAGTCTAGCTAATGACTCCTCAAAAAAAAGCGCTTGGCGGGAGGCAACCCGTTATATAGAGTTTGCTTTCTTTTACTTTTTAGTTTTCTTTTTATTTTCCCTTCGTTTTTTTTTTATTCTTAATCTTCCAAATCATCGGGCATGTCTGCTTGAGAGTGTGCATAGGCTAAGTGTGGGTGAAATGATTCATAATAAACAGAAATTTTTTGAAAATTATACAATTTTTTAAGCGACTCGCCGAGTCTGACCACGACTCGACGAGTCTACATGGATTTCAGAAAAGCATTTGACTTCGCGACCAGACTCGCCAAGTCTGACCACGACTCGACGAGTCGGTCTTATTTACAGAAAAAAAATTCAAAATTAATTTTACATTGGGTAAGTAGGGTTTTAACCCTAAGAATCAGTTTCACATCTACACTCGTCGACGGGCCGTTTTTTTTTTGCAATTT